CCAGGCTGCAGTGCAATGGTGTGATATCCACTCACTGTAACCTCCACCTCCCAGGTTCAAGTGATTCTCCTGCCTCAGTCTCCCAAGCAGTTGGGATTACAGGCACCCACCACCATGCCCAGCAAACTTTTTGCATTTTTAGTAGAGATGAGGTTTCACCATGTTGGCCATGCTGGTCTCAAACTCCTGATCTCAGGTGATCCACCCACCTCAGCCTCCCAAAGTGCTGGGATTATAGGTGTGAACCACCACGCCCAACCAAAAGGCATACTTTCTAACTACTACATTTGGTATGCAATAGAAGATGAAAACACACAGACACACAATCTCACACAGAAACATAAGCGAATCAGTTAACATACTCAGACAGTCACTCTGTACAGATCACATAGCTCACAGTGCACACCACCACAGTCCTGGAATGTTTGTCACTAAGCCAAGACAAAGACCATCACACTACCAACAGCAGTCAGCCTCTTATTTCACACTGATTATGAAGAAGTACAGGAGTGTCAATTACAATGAAGGAAGTCAACAGAAGGAGATGAGACAGGACGTCCTCAAACAAATGTCTTTTTCATCATAGCAGCCTAACAGCCTTATGCATCCAAGAATGGTTAAACTACTTTCCCCAAACAATAATTAAGCAGCCAACCGTGCTAACCCTTCACTAAAATAAATTACCTAGTATCGGTCACTGATACCCCTACTCAGACAACATGTTTTATCCATTTCACAAAGATTTCCTGTGGACTAATAATAGAGAATCTCATGTGATTGTTCTTTATCAGAAAAAAAGTTAAAAAAAAGGCAAAATGAATTTTTAAATCTTTCATCAAAAAACAAAAACTCAATGTGACAAATATAACTTATACTTGCAAATTTGGAAAAGTAAAATTAAATATAAGAATTGTATTTCTTATCAAGTTTATTATAAGCAATACATAGTTCAGAAAAAAATGAACATGGAATAATTATGGGCACTCAGGTCAAAGAAGACAGTTTTTGTAATTTTCAGTCTTCAAAAGAAATTGGAGCAACTGAATTGTTATTCACATGCTCCAGAAGTTTACAAACAATTATGTGTTTATATATAAAGTAAAAGCCCATAGATGCCATGAATCTTTTCTTTTTGTTTTTTATTTTATTGTTATGTTTTTTGAGATGGAGTCTCGCTCTGTTGCCCAGGCTGGAGTGCAGTGGCACAATCTCAGCTCACTGCAACCTCCACCTCCCCAGTTCAAGTGAATCTTTAATTCAGTTGCAATTCCTTCAAAACCATTTAAGACCAGAAGGTGAATTAAACCATTTTAAGCACTTCAACATGTGATTTCACTAGGAGCTGATACAGGGTTATAGTAAGAGTAAACTCATACCAAGTCCTGCTGGTCAGGGTCGTCAGAGCGCAGCAGATGAATGAAGGGCCCACAAGACTCTGCTTATCAGCAAAGTCTCCTGGATCAGGGTCCTCTACAGGCTGATCTGGCTGATCTTGAATCAATGTGGATACCCAATTCATGATGGAATCCCCCTGTAACATGCGAGGCGCAAGAAACCCACTGATGGGAAACCATTGGCATATAAAGCCACTGTCAAAAATGTTTCCACTTATAAAGTTACAGTACAGTATCAACAAGATATTCATTTTTTGGATAGAAAGTCGATACACATGTATGTCATACACACATATACAGACAAAAGTCTGGACAGATATGTACGAAATGTTAATTTACAGTGGTTATTCTCTATCTGGTGGAATTATAAATGTTTTATAATTCTTTATACATCTCCCATTTTCTAATTTATATAATGAATAAGTTACTTGTAAATTTTCTTTAGTATTGAATTACCCTACCCTCCCATCTCAGGTATCTAGGTCCATAGTCTAAAATTGTAACACTGTTTCCCTAAAATAGCATGGAGGTATTCTCTTACCTGGTCTTGAGAGACAATTTCTGTATTATAATCCAGAACATTACTAAGCACATAACAACTCATGCGCTTTCTGGACTCATAGTCAAAGTACTCAAAGAGTGGGTGAAAATGTTTTAATTTCAAGACTGTTAAAATATTGTTGTAAGTGTCAACTGGTATTTTCAAAAGTCTGGTGAGTTCCTTTGAAACTGCACTGCTGGTAGCAACACTACAAAAAGAAAAACAGAAGTCTTAATGAATAAAATTAACTTTCTCTATGCACAAATAGCACTTGTTCCATAAGAATTTGAAATTTTTCATTACACATTAAAGGAAATGGGTCAAGTGAATCATACCACCAGCAGAGTATAACAACCTCCTTTCAAGAGGATAAAAATGCTTATCTAATCACAAATATATGTTCATCTATTATTTTTCTGTTGATACAAAACTAGATACAGTTTCCAACTCATGAACAGATGGTATAGCTGGAGTTAAGATGACCGTCTAGAATTCGATGACATTTCTAAGGGAAGTATTTTAACTGGTAGTTTGGTTCCCAGGGGGCAGCCAACAAGTATTGTATATTCACGATGAAAACAAGTAGGAAGAAAATCCATGCAAAACCAGCAATTCGACACAATAGAAAAATATATAAACTATTTCTTCTGCATCAGATGTTGGTGATTAAGGAAAAGCAGGCTGACTGACTTTTAGGTAGTGGTTAGTAAAATCATTCTGTAGATATTGAGGCATGTTGGGACATTTATTACAACCTCATTAGAGGTAGTTATTTCTAATTATTTTCTCTATTTTTACTTTAAAATTCACTTGGGTGGAAAGACATAAATACATCACTTAGTTTTTTTAATTTAAAATTTTTTAATTTTTAATTTTATTTTTTATTAGAGATGGCGTCTTGCTATGTTGCCCAAGCTGTTGGCAAACTCCTGGGCTCAAGTGATTTTCCCAACCCAGTCTCCTGAATAGCTGGGATTACAGGTGCAAACCACCACACCTGGCACATCATTTAATTTTCTCTCACACTTATTCCGTATCTGGACTTGTTTTCAGTTCACACACACATAAAACCAAAAATGACTGAAAGAAAAAAGGTAATACAAAGCGGGGGAAAAAAGAAGAAATTTTCTTGATGCAGGTAAACCACTAGAAAGGAGATAGAAAGGAGGGAGATTACATGATGTAAAATTCTGTAGAATATGGGCGGGGGAGGCGGGCCTGGCTTAACCCAAGTCCAGAGCAATGGGGAATGGGACAGGAAGGGAACTGCTGGGGAGGGTAACAGGATCAGAGACGCCCATAGTGGCCACTAGAGGACGCCATAGGCCTAGGATAGAACAGCTGAGGAGGTTTCAAGTTGGAAACAGTACTGTTGATAGGTTCTTTGAAGGTATCCAAATCAAAGCTCAAAATAGAAAAGATATTTAAACAAATTTAATTCTGCACCTTTAATATACATACGCCCCTCATTTTTCACCATGTATTCATTCATAGGAAAACACCAATTATGGAAATAAATACTATCTGACAAAGTTTCCTTACCAGTTTAAGAACCAACTCATTCATAAGAACTCATTTCATACTCAATACAGCAAGCTTGTCCAACCCGCGGCCCACAGGCCGCATGCAGCCCAGCATGGCTTTGAATGTGGCCCAACACAATTTTGTAAACTTTCTTAAAACATTATGAGTTTTTTTGCGATTTTTTTAAAGCTCATCAGCTATTGCTAGTGTTAGTGTATTTTACGTGTGGCCCAAGAAAATGCTTCTACCAATGCACCCCAGGGAAGCCAAAAGATTGGATGCCCCTGATACACAGAAAGAGATCCAAATTGGAGACACCGGTCCCTGAAGACTTCATATGGTCCATAGGTACCACAATTTCATTAATATACACAACCAAGTAATTGGTTACCACTTTCTGCCCCTAGTAGTGCTAAGCATGACAATCTTAATGCATGATTAAAACAAGACCAACGCCAGCAGTTCAAAAAACAATTGAGAAAGAAAAGCAAATCTAGGACAAAAATGTCTTTATGAGGATTTTTACAAAAATGTAACTTACTGTTCAAGGTTGAGCTTATTGAATATCTCCACTGTTGTTTCTAGAACTTTATCAACATAGTCCACACGATCAGGGTAATATTTCATGGCAAGATTAATGAGAGAGACACATAAAGATACAACATCCTCTGAAGGCGTGTCTTGTCTAGACCGGAATGTTTAGAAAACCATACAATTTATTTTAAACAATTGTAAAAGGAAGGCAGAGAAGTTTCAAAGTTTTGAGAACTTAGGAGAAACCTACAGAAACTTGTATCACTGTAGCCCCCTGCTGTGAAAATACACCAAAAAGTTTAATATCCCCTTGGATTCCAGTTCTATCTTCACAGTGAGCAAATAAAGCTAATCTAAAAAAACCCAAAAACCCTTTATTTTAAAATATACAGGGTTTGGATAGTGAGATCATGGATGACATCTTATTCTTTATTACTTTTCTTTATTTCGTATGAGCCCAAAAGATTTTTAAGTCGATCATTCCCTCAATGTTTTGAGACAAGATCTCCCTCTCTCGCCCAGGCTGGAGTGCAGTCATGCACTCTCCGCTCAAGGAAACTTTCACCCGCTGGACTCAAGCTATCCTCCCACCTCAGCATCCTGAGTAGCTGGGGCTAACAGCATGTGCCACCACGCCCAGGTAATTTCTGTGTTTTCTGTAGTGATGGCGTTTTGCCATGTTGCCCAGCATGGTATTGAACTGGACTCAAGCAAGCCTCCCTCCTTGGCCTCCCAGAGTGCTGGGATTACGGATGTGAGCCACTGCACCCAGCCTCCTCAATTCACTTTTAACTAAACAGTTTTGCCAATGAAACCTTTTTGCATCAGCATTCATATTTCATACCATACTAAGTAGATTTTCAACAAGATAATTCTCTCAAACTCTTTGAAGCATAATTAAGTAGATATGGACAAATGCATTAAAGTAACAAATATATTCAACAACCATGATTTAAATAAATAATCTTTAAAAAATAAGAGCACATAGACTATTTTAAGATACTGCATTTTTACTACTTAAAGTTTGAAATACAACTAAGTCTAAAATTCATAAAATTAACTTTTATTTCCCACATCTTAAATTACTTAAAATAATGTCTGCTTCATTATCATTATCTGTTTGTTGGAGTCACAACTACATCCACATGTTGTTATGCCCAGAAGCATACTACTGACAGAGATGGGTAAGTGACATTACAGGCAACACAGGAAAATCCAGTTGCTAGCTTCCTTTAAGAGTGGGCCCAATCAGTATGGGATTTTTGCTGCCCAGGATTGAGCTGATAATTTGGAAAATTTTGTAATCTAAATTCTCAGACTTTAAACCTAATTACTTAGTTTTTAAAAAAACGTACAAAATGTGTCTGCAGAGACAAATCTTCACTTAGGTTTCTGGTTTCATGACAATGCTTACAAGTAGTGGGACACACATTCTGTACTACTACACAACACGGCTGCAAAAAAGTCACCCATTGACCAAGCGCGGTAGCTCACGTCTGCAATCCCAGCACTTTGGGAAGCTGAGGCAGGCGGATCATTTGAGCTCAGGAGTTTGAGATCAGCCTGGCCAACCTGGCAAAACCCCGTCTCTGCTAAAAATACAAAAATTAGCCAGGCATGGTGGTGCATGTCTGTAATCCCAGCTACTCGGGAAGCTGAGACACTAGAATCACTTGAACTCTGGAGTCGGAGGTTACAGTGAGCCGAGATAGCGCCACTGCACTCTAGCTTGGGTGACGGAGTGAGACTCTGTCTGAAAAAGAAAAATCTAAGAAAATAAAATTTAAAGTGAATGTACTAAACTTATTTGATACTTAAAATTTTTTAAGAAAATGTGATGATAGAGTGATTACTTGAACATTTTCAATCATCTGTATCTTATGGCTACTCTAAATCAAATGAGTTCCCACTGCAAGATATGGTAAAAATCAAAATTTTGTTCTTCAATATGATCTTTGAATGTGTACAATTTAAACAATAAGTCTGTACAGTGTCTTTAAATGTCAATTAAATGCACAGAATAAATATGTTGATCATCTTCATGTCTCCTGCACATTTCAGTTAAGCCTCTTTCATGTCTAACCGAGGCATGTACCTAGTACTCATACTCAGAAAGCTACATTATTTATAGTATAATTAAATTAAGATCATTGGTATGATAAAGATGTAACAGAAACAAATAATTCAAAAAATGTTTAAAATTCATTATTCCCAAGTCCGAGCATGTGTCCTCCAGTGCCGGAAGGTCTTACCTATCAATTAAAGCAATGATTATGTTTTTCACGTTTACATTCTGGTGTAACTCAGCACAGGCCCAAAGAAAAGGATTCTAAGTCAGGGAAAACCTGAGAATCAAATGATCAATACAAGTAAAAGTATTTCACATAATATTCTGAACTCACATATGGTAAAGTTCACATTTGTGGGGAAAAAACACTGTAATCTTATACAACTAATAATAATAATCTTATACACATTACTTCTGAACCTCTCTACTAAACAGAAGCTCAGACAGAAATATTCCAATAAACAAAGTGCACCTACAATTAAACTAAAGCTACAGAGACCGAGAAAACTCAGATGACTCATTCCTACAGTTTGGAGGAAAACAAACCACATTGATACAAAGACCAAGTTATAAGTCAGAAACAGAAAATCTTATTTTTAAATTATTTTTAGAAGAAGCAAGATTACAAGAAAAAAAGAAGCATTAAAAAATGATTTCAATTTTTTATAGAAATGGCATCTTGCTTTGTTGCCCAGGCTGGTTTTGAACTCCTGGCCTCAAGAGATCCTCCCACCTTCAACTCCCAAAGTGCTGGGATTACAAGTGTGAGTCACTACACCCAGCAAGGAAAGTTCTTCATTCAGGAAAGCTTATTTCCTATTCCTTCAAAATGTTTTCAAAACAATTAAATTTAATGAAAGATAAAAAAGGTCCTTTAAAAAAATGAAATAAATGTTCCCACCTACCTGAATAATACACTCCATGAGATATTCTTTAGCCAGAGCATCCCTACAGTTTACAACTGCTCCAATATGCCAGTCAAAACAGTATAAAAGAGAAAAAAAACACACGTAAGAGTTAAAATCTGTTTTCAAAATCTTAAACTAGTAACATATTTGAACTACTAACTTGAGCATTGTATTTGAGATTTTTCTCACCAAGACTTCACTTCTAAACTTTAAAAGCTATTTCCTTTTTGAGACAAGGTCTTGTTCTGTTGCCCAGGCTGGAGTGCAGCAGGACACTCTCCACTTAATGCAGTGTCCACCTCCTGGGCTCAAGCCATCCTGCCACCTCAAGCCTCCTGAGTAGCTGGGACTACAGGTACATTCCACCATGCCCAGCTAATTTTGGTAATTTTTGTAGAGATAGGGTCTTCCTATGGTGCCCAGGCTTGTCTCAAACTCCTAGACTCAAGTGATCCATCTGCCTTGGCCTCTCAAAAGTGAGTTTTTTTCTCAATGGCTTGTGCTTTTTTGTGTATCCTCAGAAATCTTTGTCTAATCCTAGGTCGTAAGGATTTCCTCTGTGTTTTCTTCTAACAGTTTTAGGTTCTATATTTAGGTCTCTGATGGATTATTGTGTTTTTTCTATACGGTATGAGGGATGGGTCAAGGTTCAGGATTTTGTGTGTGTTTGCATATAAGCATCCAATTGTTCCAGAATCATTTGCTGAAAAGGTTGCCTGTGTACTTTTATAAAAAATAACTGATCATAAATATCTGGGTCTATTATGGATTGTCTAGTCAGAGATGTATAAACTGAGCTGCTGCTTGTTTTTACAAATAAAGTTTTACTGGAACACAGCCATGCCCATTCACTTCCATATTGTCTGTGGCTGCTTTTGCACCATATCTGCAGTGTTAGTAGTTGTAGACCAGGGTTGTCCAATCGTTTGGCTTGAAGAAGAATTAGAAGAATTGTCTTGGACCACACATAAAATACACTAATAATAGCTGATGAGCTTTTAAGACAAAAAAGCAAAAAATCTCATGTTTTAAAGTTTTCAAACTTGTGTTGGGCCACGTTCCAAGCTGCCCTAGGCCGCAGGTTGGACAAGCTTGTTGTACAGCGTAAGTCTTGCAAAGTAAAAAACCATTTATTATCTGGTCCCTCACAGGTAAAGTTTGCCATTCCCTGTTTTATTCCCCTCCACTGATTTGTGTGTCTATCCTTTTCACCAATACCACACAGGCTCTCACTGTAGCTTTAAATCATGAATTCGGGTTGTTTGGATCTTTTAACTTTGTTCTTCCTTTTCAAACTTTGGTAGCTGTTCCAGGTTCTTTATTTCTTCATGAGTCTGCTGGTATTTTGACTGAGATTACATTGACTGAGATCAATTTTTTAAAAAATGCTATCTTGACAATATTCCGTCTTTCAATCCACAAACATTGCATATATATCTTTCTGTTTATTTAAATCTTCTTCAGTAAAAGCCGTTTTAAGATTTTTTTCAATGTAGTATTATATGACAAAAATATTCTGATTTTAAAAATCAGATTTCATTTTATCTCAGAACATAAGAAGAGGTAACAAAAAGATATAAACCTGTTTGTAACGTTCCACATTTACAGCTTCCAACTGACTGAGGCGCACCACATTTGTTCCCACTAAAATTCTCACTTCTTGTCTTTCTCGTTCTCTTTTTTCTCTATCTCGGCTATGTCCCTGATGCTGCATTCGCACCCAGAGCTTGTTCATTTCTGCAAAGTTAAGCAGTACAAACTCCATGGAATCACTGATATCGCCAGTTGTTTCTTCGCTGGAAAGAAACAGAAAAGTCTTTACACAGTATTTACAGAACCAACTTACTACCATCCCTCTCCTTTGTGCATTTCCTACTTATCTCTGTAGTACACCAGTGCTTTATGAAAAACCACTTTCAACTTCACGGGCTTAGTGTTAAATTTCAAAGTGAACAGACTCTAGGGAAAAAAGTACCTGGAGAGGACAGTATAAATTTAAAGGACAAATTACTTTCCCCAACTCCCTATTCTGGGCCAACTGGACTTGCTCTTGTAGCAGTTTCCTTAATTCAAAAAGGCTAGAAGGATGGGCATGGTGGCTCATGTCTGTAATCCCAATGCTTTGGGAGGCCAAGGCAGGAAGATCACTTTAGGCCAGGAGTTTAAAA